TGTTCAGGGACATTAATTATTTTCATTATGTTGTGCTACTCCAGTGTTAAGCTTAAAAATTGCCTTTTCTGGCCATTATGTTAGCCTCCTCTGTTCTCTAGCTACTTTAACTGTAGACACATTGTCTTGCCAATCATCAACAGCTGTGAGACTAGAATGAGAGACAGAGGAGAGAGAGGAGGAGCGGAGAGGAGCGGAGAGGAGAGGAGAGGAGAAAAGAAAACGTGCTTCCTACACTGAGCAGCAAGAATTGAGGGAGAGACTGGAGCAAGATCCTAGTGGCTACCCTAATGAGGGTGGTATAGAGACTGTGGTACTGCTGTGAGAAACTGTGGCAAGATCTAACCAGAGGAGCCCTGAGATAAAGGCCCCAGTTAAATGTTTTGCTGTTCTTGCCCGATGATGGAAGGAAAATCTGACTGCTGAACTGAAACCGTAGCCTGGACTAATTGAGGAGTTGTGTGCCATGGGACTACTGGACTTAAACCTGGAGTTGCATTGGGTTATATTCTTTACCTACTCCACTCTTTCTTACTTCCCTAATAAACCCCACTCTCAATACCACAGTTTGTGACTCAGTAATGAATTAAAGAACCTCTTACTGCTGGTATGGCTCTAGAGGCACCATGGGGCTAGGCTACAGACACTTTATCTGCTTTCTGCTCTGGGGCAGTGAGAGGCTGTGCTATTCTCATTCCCTCTGGTCCTTTCAGAGAGAAGCTCATAGCTCTGTGCCCTCATCTCCCATTTTCTGCTCTCTGGACAGCTACTATAACCATTATCCATTTCCAGACGGTTTGAAACCCTCTAAACAGAAACTTGCTGCCCTTTTTCAGTAACTTCCCATCACCCGCTCCCCTGTGCCCTGTCATTGTTGCTGTTAGGTGCCATCAAGTGGACTCTGACTCACAGCAATGCTGTGAACACTAGATCTGAACCTGGTACCATCCTGCATCATCCTCATGATTTCAGCCAAGTTCAAGTCCATTGTTACAATCACTGTGTCAACCTATCCTACAAAGCACCTTCCTCTCTTTCACTAACCCTCCACCTTTCCCAGCGTGATGTCTTTTTCTATGGACTGTCCCCTCTTGACAACATGCCCTAAGTATGTGAGATGAAGTTTCCCCATCCTTGCTTCCAAGGAGCACCCTGGCTGCATTTCCTCCAAGACAGATTTGTTTGTTCTTTTGGCATTCCAGGGGCTATTCAGTAATCTCCTCCAGTACTACAACTTCAAATGCATCAATTCTTATTTGGTTTTATTAATTGTCCAAACTTTAGATGCATAGAAAAGAATTTAAATACCATGACTTGGATCTTTAGTACTTTTAAACTAAGCAACTATGCCCTAGCCATGACTATTTTACTTCTGTTAATTTTTGTCTCTGCATTTTCCCATTCTAGATATTTCATAACAGTGAGATTATACAGTGAAAAGATATAATTTAAAGTCTTAATCAGTCCATGTCACTCCCTACTTGGAGCAACCCCTGATTGCATCCAGTCCAGGTTGCCTCTGCCTGGCTGTGCTTCTCCACGAGCACGTCCCTTGTCCTTCAGATCACCACTCCAGAGAGGAGGCTTCTTGTAATCCAGTCTAAAATAGTCCTACTCGCTCTCTGTGCTAGCACACCTTTTTTTAAAAAAATATTTGTGATTTGAATGAAAGCGTACAAAACATAATTCTTTTTTCCAGTCAGTCATTCCTACACAGTTTGTTCCACAACATCAGTTACAATACACTCAATATCTGATCATTCATTCCATATTCTTTCCCTTCACCATCTTGAGTTTATTATCTATTAATTTTCTACTCCCTCCCCCTCCTTGGTCACCATACTAGATTGATTATCTCTGTATATAAACATTTCTCTTGCTTTTTATTACCAATGGTCTTATACAATATTTGACCATTTGTTACTGACTCCTTTAACTCAACTTTAACTCAACAAGATGTCCTATAGATTGTTTTATGTAATGTAATGTTTCATGAG